GGCTCTTCATTGTTTGTGTTCTAGAATTTGTTTTCTCAGTGTCTGATCTCCCAGGGGTCTGTGAGAGACCTATATTCTTCTTTTCGTTTTTCTTCATTTGTGCAGTTTTTCCCCCTCCCAACTTTTTCCTTCCCTCCATGTCACTGTCTTCTTTAATTCTGTTATTCATGGGTAAAGGGATTGGTTTTACTTCTGTTTGTTCAATCTCCTCATCTTTATGTATGCCCTCTTACTTTGTTCAATTCTGGAGTTGCACTGTAGGTTGGGGGTGGTCCTTTTTGCAATTTTGAGATTTACTTAAGGGGGGGGAGCTGTGATTCAAAATCTATCTGCAGGTCCTGGTATTCGCTGACAGGTGTGTGGATAATCTGGAACTCACTTCCCACTGCCTTGGATTCTCTCCATGCAGTGGGGCTGTAGGTTTACTCCCTGAAATAAAATGTGGTTAGCAGAGGGAAGAGAATGGAGCAGACTGTGGGTTGAAGAGGGGGTGGGGAGATAGAGGAGTAAGGGGGGAAACAAATGTGTGCCAACAAATGGAGAGAGAGACCTATACTGAAACAGATAAAAACAATAGACCACAGCTACTGATGAACCAACTCCCATACAAAAAAAAAGCATATAGTGATGCTAACATACAAGCTAACCAACCACCTTATTGGTGTGCTGTTCCTCTATACAAAGATATGGTTTACAGAGAGAAGAATAGAAAAGAAAAGGAAGAGGGGGGAAAAAGGAACAAACAATAGGAATAGAATTAAATCATTAAACTAACAGAATCAATGAAGCACACTCTGAGACTTTTCATTTAAGTCCAATGTCCTTTCAGTTCTGATTTCTATCTTTCTTTTCAAGAAGGTAAATTAGTTTGCAGTTAGGGTCAGTTGCCCTTGGTCTGCTGTGAAGGACAGTTCAGATCACCCTCCGTTCACTACTCTGGCCTATGTCCTTTTCCATCTTATTTCTCCCGTCTCAGTGTTGTTACCTTGAATCACCAGCAGGTGGTGCTATCTCAGCTGCTCGCTCCAGAGGGGTTGGGGCCGGACAGGAACCGGCAGACTGGAGATGGATAGTGCCTGCCTCAGGGCATAGGCAGGAGACTCACGTTGGGCAGCAATGAGTGTGGGGGTGCAGGATACTGATTTTATTTTCTTTGAGTATGTAGCCAGTAGTGGGATTGATGGATTAAATGATAGTTAAATTCTTAATTTTTTTTGAGAAACCTCCCATATTGTTTTCCATAATGACTATACCAATTAATAGCTCCACCAACTGTGTACAAGATTTTCCTTTTCTCTACACCCTTGCCAACATTTTAAAAAATCTTGTCTTTTTGGTAATAACATTCTAGCATATAGAGGTGATATCTCACTGTGGTATTGACTTGCATTTCTCTGATGACTAGTGATATTGAACAATTTTTAAATATATATACCTGTTGGCCATTTATATGTCTTCTTTGGGAAAATGTCTGTTCATGCTCTTTGCCCATTTTAAATTGAGGGTTTTAAATTTTATTTTTGCTATTTATGTGATATATGTTTTAGATATTAACCTCTTATCATATATATGATTTGCAAATATTTTCTCTCATTTCATGAGTTGCCTTTTCATTTTTCTAAAAAAACTTTCCTTTGTTGTGCAGAAGCTTTTTACTTTGATGTAGCATTTATTTTTGCTTTTGGAGTCATATTAAAAAAAAATCATTGTCAAGATCAATGTCAAGAAACTTTTTCCCAATATTTTATTCTAAGAACTTTACAGATCTTATACTTAAGTTTTTAATTCCATTTGGGTTAATTTTTATATATAGTATAATAATCTTTTGCATGTGGATAGCCAATTTTACCAGTACCATTTATTGAAGAGACTCTCTTTTCCTCATTGTGTATTTTCAGTGACCTTGTTAGAGATTAATTGGCCATATATCCATGCATTTATTTCTAGGATGTCTATTTTATTTTGTTGGCTTATGTGTCTGTTTTTATACCAGTACTGTTTTGATTGCTATAACTTTTTAATATAGCCAAGATATGGAAACAGATGTTCATTGACACGAGTTTATTGACATATAAATAGATCAAGAAAATGTAGTATAATAAAATGTTTTGAACCATAAAAAAGAAGGAAACACTACCATTTGTGACAGCATTGATGAACCTGGAGGATCTAAGTGAAATAAGTTAGACACAGAAAGACAAATACTGTATGATGTACTTATGCATGGAGTTTAAAAAAGTTGAATTCATAGATGCAGAAAGTAGGAGGTTGGGTGGCTACTAGAGACTAGGCCATGGGGAAAATGGGGGAAATCTTGGTCAAAGTGTATAAACTTTAAGTTATAAGAGGAAAAAATTCTGGGGATCTAAGGTATAGCATGGGTGGTGAGGGTTGTGCTAATTAATTTGGTTTTGACATCATTTGTATATAAAATCATGTTTTACACATTGAATATATGAAATCTTTTTCAATTATCTATTTGAAAATAAAATGCAATTATAAAGGACTCTTTGGGTAAAAAAATATTCTGGCAATAATGGATTAATTCTTGTGACTAACATACTTTTAAGTAGTCACATATCTTTAATGTTATAATCAGTTTTAGAATTTTGCTAGCGATTTAATTTCACAGTATTTTGGCCAGGCACAGGGCCTCATGCCTGTAATCCCAGCATACTGGGAGGCAGAGGTAGAAGAACTGCTCATGGCCAATAGTTCAAGACCAGTCTGAACAACAGAGTAAGACTCCACCTCTACAAAAACATTTTAAAAATTAGCTACTTGGGAAGCTAAGGCAGGCGGATGGCTTTAGCCCGGGAGTTAAAGGCTGCAGTGAGTTATGCTTGCTCCACTGCAATCCAGCCTGGACAACAAAGTATGATTCTGTTTCTTAAATTAAATAAATGCATGAAAAATTACACGGCATTTATTGTCTCCCTTTTCAAAATTACATTTGCATGCTTGCTCTCTTACTCACTAGGACTTTTCAAAGGTGGCTTTTTAATCATACATACAAGCCTTCTTTATATCTTGAAATATAAACATCCCGAGTTTGGAGAATTTTATTTTTTAAATAATTATTTTCTTTTTCCATATTCCTACAGATTTTGGCTTTTAACAATCAGCCTTCAACTGTAATTATCCACACTTTTTATTTGAAGTATCATTCACATTAATAGAAAGAATTCACTCAACAATATCTGTTGAAGTACTTTGTGCTAAGAATTGTTTGGAAAACATGGGATATATGGGTGAACATGAGATAGAGATCCCTGCTCTGTGTCTTTATTTTGTGGAGAGGGAGACAGACAATAGGTAATGCCACATGCGTTTTTTTATATAGAATGTTAGATTCCATAGAATGTTCGGCTGTGTAGAATGTTAGAAGTTGGTCAACACTATGGGGATAAGTAGGGTTGGAGGATCAGGATGCTTAGGGAAGGATGGAAATAAAACATAAGTTCAATTCTTCTAGTTTTTTCTAACATTTTTTATTTCCTCTAGTAGTGATTCTGTTCTTTCCTTGTTCAATAAAACATTGCTTCAAAAAAATCTTTTTTTCTTTTGACATGTTTTGTCAACCTTATTCTGTGCTTTCTCAGTCGTCTTAATGTTTAGAACAATTTTTTTCTCTGGTTGTTGCTCCTTCTTTAAATTTGGATCACGTGTGTGTGTGTGTGTGTGTGTGTGTGTGTGTGTGTGTGTGTGTGTGTGTGTGTACTTTTTCTTCTTTGGAATTATTCTCAAGGCTGATTCATTTTTGGTGTTTTTATTCCTACACCCATCTTTTAAAAACTTACAGAGTTGCCAAACACTTCTTCAGTGTCTTGCCTGCTCTCCAGTCTTGGAGAGGTGGATCCACCCATTTTCTCTAACCTACCTTTTAAATAAAAATTTTTCTAACCTAAAATATTAAATAAGAATAAAAAGGTTACAGAGTTACGGGCTATATTATTTCTTTGCTTTTCAAGTTTAAAAATATGGTTTTGTAAAATTTAGAGTATTGGTCTATGCAAGACATTGCCTTTCATGTTATTAACTTTGAAAACAAATCGATCACACTTCTTTATGGCTTTTGAAACGTTCAACTAAGTAGTAAGTTATAAATTTTTAATCATATTAATTTGAAAATAGCAAGTTTTATCATTTTACTCACTTCCTCATGAAGTTTACATTGTCAGAAAGGTAAGTCAAAAACTTACCTTTTTTGCTTACTATTTTGCTTTTCTTTGAATGCAACTCAAGTATCTAAAATTTTGTATATTCTTGTTATATTTTACCCTTGTGTAATGCTATAATTTGAGATAAGGAAACATTCTTCATTTGGTCAGGTAAATTGTAACTTTTCTTCTGAAAAATAATTTACTACTGATATTTTTCTTTTTCTATGCTTGTTTAACTGCTTCATTCCTTAATGAATGAGAATTGTACTCCATCCATTCATCCATTAATCCTCCATCTGTTTATTGAGTGTCTACTTAATGTGCCTGGCACTTCCCGCCACTCCAGGCACCACAGGGAACACAAAATTCTCTTAGCTCTTTCTGTGAAAAATGGTCTGTTCTTTGTTCATTGAATAGTGGCTGATGGTCCTGTGGGCATTTCTTGTGCACCTTGGGTCAACTCAGACTCATACTAGATATGTCATGCTGGTCTTGCTGCTTATTTTATCACCTGTCTCTTAAAATTTGCTTTGATTTCTCTTTTTCCTTTTACAAATTTTTTTTCTTTCTACATTTCTGTTCCTCATCCCCTTTTCTACCTTGGGACACATCTCTTCTATTAAGCCAAGGGCTAGACACGAGCTTCTTTTCACCCTCTTCTGCTGTGGAACCAACTTGCTTTTAGAGTGTTAAGTAGACTCTCATAGGCAAGAAGACAAACAAACTTAGCCCAGAACTCACATATCAGAGGGATAGATATTTAAATAATGTAAGGCCTTTGGTCCAAAATTTTGTATTTAAGGTGAATTTTCACATATCCCCACTTCTCTTAAAAAGGAACAGCAAGAATCTTCTGTACAGCCACAAGAAAGTGCATTACAAAATTGGAAGGCCATGAAGGTGGAATTTCAAAGGTGAGTTGCTTTCTCATTTGGAGCAATTTATTTACTTAAAAAAACCAGCCTGTTTAGTATAAATGGGTCTATTGGAACTGAGATACTTGGTATATTCAATTATCTCATTCTTTCTAGAAATCAGTCACCTAAACACCTTATTTTTAAGCGTGCCCTCAGACTTTTTAAAATATTTGTAAAAAGTACAAAACATCATTCTCCTCAACCACCAGCAAAAGATATAGTTGGCTGAAGATACTTAATACAGCAACTTAAGGAGCTTATATAACTCTTTTCCTGATTTTTATAAACACAAGCTTTTATTATGCAAAAACATGCCATGCAGCATGCATCAAGTGTTCTGTAAATTAGACACCATTGACAAAGCATTTCCTAGAAAGATTTGACACTAAAATATAAAATTATCCATCTTGAAACTTCAAATCTGTGTCTTAGGATTTTGTATAAACTCCTCCTAAAAGATTATTCACAGAGCAGGGTCATCCAACACATGATCTGATGTCTTGATGTGTCATCAGAAAATTGTTGAGCAAGCTAGGACTTGGTGGCTCAGCCCAATTCCTTGGTCTCATTCCTGAGATCAGATTTGCTTCTTCCTTGTAAAATATCAGCTTGATAGTTTCAGGTGTCTGAAGGCTCCATCTAGACCCTGGGATTGCCCCATACTGTATTCTCACCCCTCCTGCCTCTGCACCTGCTGCTGGTAGCTCTTGCCCTTGGGCTAGTCAGTGCTGGTTCTCATGGCTGTGCAGTCCATGCCCTTTTCATAGGCTGGGAGGCTTATTGATGGCAAGAGCGGGTGGAAAAGTGAACATGGGAGCAGGTTGAGGAGGGATCCTGGGCCATGTATCTGAGTGTCTGGCTAGAGAGCTAATGATAAATCTGCCATTTTCCCTCAACAGGTACACATCTGCCTTCATGAACATGTGAATATAAAGGGTCTCAAACTCTGTTATTAAATTTTATGCTTGTTAAATGAATATATTACTTATTGAATTGGCATCTGGTAATGGCATTCCTATGGGGTGCAATGCTAAAGTATTTATTTATTTATTCAGAAAATATTTTTGGAGAGCTTCCACCATGCTAGCCATTTGTGCAGGCACTGGTGACACAGTGCTAGAAAAAACAAAACAGATATGGTTTTACCTTCCTCAACTCTTCAGTTATAGTGGAGGTGGCCCAAATCACTGTCTTCTGATGACCAGAGAGGAATATAAGAATTATGGCAAAAGAATGGAGGACCAACAGATTCCTTTGCCACTCATAGCAATCGTCAACACCTGGCACATGGGAGGCACTCAAGCATATTAATGGAAAGTGCTGTACTTGGGATAGCAATAGATGAAAATGTCCTTTTATGGAGGACCTGACGTTAACTTTTTTCATAGCACAGATTGAGGGGGATCTGAGTGCTTTCAATTATAAAGATGATGCTGGAGTTTAGATATGAAGTGGCTAGACGGTGTTTCCATCCACAACAGGGTCCTGCCTCTTTGCAAAGAGAAGGGCATCGTGACTCTTTAGAATGAAGCTGAGTGGAAAATATTCAAATTATAAGGGTGCTTTAGTCTTTGTTCTTAGAGTTGTGAAGGGTAGGTACTTAAACTTTTCTCTCTAGATTTTAATTTTCATGCGTTGTTCCCTGCAATACTTTCCCCATCATGAATAAATTGTTCTGTGTAAGAGTAAACCAGGCTGGGGAAGGGACAGGTGCTTCGTAATGTTCTCTTTTTACTGAGGAAAAATATTTTGGGAACAATTACACAAACCTGTGATCATTTTTTCTTTATCCTTTGCAGATTTCTTTCAACCCCCAAGGGAACCGTCTTTTAACTGGCAGCTCTGACAGAACAGCTAGAATCTGGGATGCCCATACTGGCCATTGCCTCCAGGTTCTTGATGGACACACTGATGAAATCTTTTCATGTGCTTTCAACTATAAAGGCAACATAGTCATTACAGGTATGGGAGAAATAAACACTATAGACTCGGTTTTTCTTTTTAATTGGCCATTAGAATTCCCAGGCTGAATACTAAAAGGCATTTAGTGTACTCCTTACCCCTGTTTCAGGGTCCTTTGCACTCCAGTTTCTATTATTTAGTTGCATCAAGACCCACAGGAGTGAGTTCTGCCATTGGCTATAAGGCTTTGTGAATTTTGAATTTTAGTTTGTTCTAGATAAGGTAACGATTTGGCAGCCTGCCTTACTGTTCATGACATGTCATCCATCAAATGAATTATTAATGTTCAGTTTATGTCAGAAAGTATTAGTAACCAAAACAAGTTAGGACAGAGTTCTCCGGGTTGGCTTTACAGCCCATTAGAGATTTATTCTTTGAGCTAAGTTGTTTTCTCTTCAGTTGTTTCCTGCCAAAGCACGAATATGTGGGGAAAGCAACATGTACTGAGTTTTCATTCATTAACAAGTTATGATTTAATCACATTAACAGCATTTTATAAGAACTGGATGGAAAGGGGAGAAAGATCATGGAAAGGGGAGAAAAATGGCAAGATTATGGTATAATGCCACTGTGGTGCCTCTAGGTGAGGCTTTGACACAGAGTGTGTGCTACAGTAGTGTGGGGTAGGGATACCCCGAGTGAGCATAGAAAACTGCATACCTGGTGACCAGTGATTCTCATTGTCTTGAGCAAATCTTAAACTTGCTGAACTGATCTAATAAGCTAAATCACATGCCCAAGTTTGGCTTTACATATTGACTGAGTGGTTGGCTTCCTAGTCATGTAACTTCAAGGGTGCTGAGCATTTTCTCCCTGTATCCTCTAACATAATTCTTCCACTTAATTATGGATAAGTACTAAAACCACAGTTCCTTTCTTTGGGCTTATAATTTTCAATTGTTAATTAAAACGTAAGTACTTCTAAAGTGCTATTGTAATAAGCCACCAATTTTACTGTGAACACAATACCAAATTTTTTTCCATGACAAGAAAAGAGGTGAAGGGGGCCTGTGAAGGAGGGCACAGGATACTCCTGAAGGGAGCTGCTGCCATGTGAGGAAGAAGAAAGGCTGGTCTGCCTGGATAAAGAACCAGTCTTTCCTAGTTCACATTTCTTATGCAAGGCTGGCTCCGTAGTACCTTTTCCCTCAACTAGTTTTCACAGAAGGCCCTGGAGAGTTAGGGAAAGAATATTTGTTGTCTGTGCCTTGTTTTAGTGCTGGTGCTTAAATTCCTGAGCTCTTTTTAAGATATTACTTGTTTATTTTGTGTATCCCAAAGTACCAAAGTGCTAAATACTGGCTTACTGGGGGACAGAGTTTATCATAATGGGGCAGAACTTCTGTTTTGCCATCAACAGAGCAATCACTTTATTTGAAATCATCTGTTCTATCTCTGGTGGACCCCACTGTGTGTTTTTTAGTAGGCTGCCTGAGGTTGGTTTTAAAATCACAAATTGGCAGAAAAGTGGCTGGAAATGGCTTTTTGTGGGATGTGCTTTTTTTTTTTTTTTTTGAGTTGGAGTCTCACTCTATCACCCAGACTGTAGTGCAGTGGCCTCTCCTGGCCACCGCAGCCTCGACCTGCTGGGCTCCGGCGATCCTTCCACCTCAGCCTTCCAAGTAGCCGGAATTACAGGAATGCGCTACCACGCCTGGCTGATTTTTTGATTTATTGTAGAGATGAAGTCTCGCTGCCCTGGCGGGTTTCGAACCCGTGGGCTCAGGCAATCCACTTACCTCAGCCTCCCAAAGGCGCGGGATTACAGGCTGAGCCACTGAGCCCGGCTGGGATGTGCATTTTTAAATGCTTCCACAATTCCAATGATCCCCACACTTCTTATATTGATGCTATGTGCCTGGTTCCTGAAGATGAGAGAATCAGTAGTACCCACTGATGATGAGGAAAACCTACCAACATTTTGAGATGTTCCAAAGTGGAGTGTCCTTCCTCCTCATATGATTGTCACCTAAACCTGCAGATATGCAAATCCATTGTACATCCATGAGGTGGCAATATTTGATGGTATGTCAGAGGGGATGACTGAAGTGGCTGCATTCTTAGGACCTTTTTAATTCTAAGATGTCGCGAATCTTGCTGGTGTGAGTAGGATATGAGTCTGCTCAATTTGCAACTGGCTGATATCATAAAAACAAAACCAAAATCACTGTGTTGAGGCACTGAGAACCTAGTACATTTAGCACTTTGCTAATTACCAATGATCCAGAAAATATCAACTTGTAAAATGAGAGTGAAGTGAATAAGATGAAGAAAAAAATAACTCAAATGTTTTATTAGGCAGCAAGGATAATACCTGTAGAATATGGCGCTGACTGAAAGAAGCTCATCGGAGAGCAAACTTGCTAGCAATGGTGATCAAGAACCTGAACATCACAGAAAGCAAGTTGTTTTAATATTTCATATGCTTTCTATTTTCTGCAAGTCAGCTATTTATACATTCTGTCCTTAATGTTACAGATATGATCATTAAAGATGATGAAGTTACATTGTTTCTTGATATTATTTGATGGGAATGATAGAAAACAGCATAATGTTGGCTAATGCCACCAGTTATTTCAATTGTGCTTTATTTTTTTGGTAGCATCATGATGCTGATAAATGAAACCAGAAGGATTTGGCAATGTGTCTCTTTGGAGGGTATTGTTATCATTTCTGTTGAATAAAGGTTTTGGAGAAGATTCCTTGTGAAGTGGACATATGTATTTACAATGCATGTTTTTAGGGTGTTATAAGGAAAATAAAATGAATCTTATTTAATAGCAAACATATTCTGGATTGATAATGGACAGAAAAAAATGTTGCCAGGTTTATTTCTAAGGTAAAGTTAAACAGCATAGACATTCATACTATTGAGTTAAAAAATAGGAGTGGAAAATGATTAAAATATGAGAGAAAATGATCAAACACCAACCTGAATATTGATGAAATATGAAAAATGTTTTTTGAATAAAGGTGTCCAAATGCATATTAAAATTAATGCTAAAAGATAAAACATAAGCTAAAACTAATGATTCTTGAATCCAGAGCAAGAGGATGCATGAGAATACTATAAAATCATTTTATAAAAAGTTTTATTGAGATATGTTCAATATACCAAAAATTGTACATATTTAATGTACACATGTCCATGAGGTTGGACCTGTGACACCATCATTAAAATCAAAGTATACGCAACCATAAAGAAGAACAAAATCATGAACTTCACAGCAACCTGGATGGACTTAGAGCCTGTAATACTGAGTGATCTTTCATAGAAACAACGAAATGAATATCACATGTTCTCACTCATAAGTGGACCTTGAACAATTATCATAATACTATAAGAAAACGATTGGCAGTAGCAGGAAACTACCGGGAGGGGAGTTGGGAAGCGAGATTGGCAGTAGTGGGAATCTGCCTGGGGAAGGAGGGGCACACTTCATCAATAAGGGATCCTGCATAATGAACATTTATATACCTAACCCTGAATTGTACCCCACATCTTTAAAATAAAAAAAGTTAAAAGAAAAAATCAAAGTACTAAATATATCTATCACCTTCAATGATTTTCCTTGTGTTATGTTGTGCTTTTTGTTGTTGCCTGTGGTAAGAACACTTTGTATGAGCTCTATTCACTGAACATTTTTTAATGTTCACAATACTCTGTTGTCAACTGTAAGTACTAAGTTGTATAGCAGATCTCTAGAACTTATTCTAGAACTCATTTTGTTAATGATGCAGGTAGTAACAAAATGGTTGAGTGCTTACTGTGTGCTAACAGTGCACAACTCTTTTATGTAGAACATCTTGTTTAATTTTCCTAGCAACTGTTACAAGCACATACAAACACTGATTTAAAAATGAGGAAAGAAAATCACAGAGAAGTTAAGTAATTTACCAAATGCATCTGAATATAAGGTGGTGAAGTTGAGTTTAGAATCCAGGGATTCTGGTTCCATTACACTATGTTCTTAAGGAAAAAAAAAGATTCAATTATGGGAGAAGAGTATCAGCTGTATCAGTAGGATGAATTGAGATGACAATTACTTTTTAGATCATCTATGGATGTTTGCCCTCAAGAAGAAAAAATGAACACAAAATAAAAGGAACAAAGACGTTGGTGTGACTGTTGGAAAGAAGTTCCAAGTTAGTGAAGCCAAGGAAAGCTTGTATTAGAGGAAACTTTGCCAAAATGTGCCCACTTTTTTTTTTTTAAAGCAAACCTCTTAAACTTCATTAGTTTTTTTCAGCTATCCTGAGGTATAATTGACATGTAAAAACTGTATGTACTCAAGGCATCCAACATGATATTTTGATATAGGTATACATTGTCAAATGATTGCCACAAACTACTGATTGATAAATCCATTACCTCACATATTTACCTTTTTTCCCAGTGGAGAGGCTACTTACAATCAGTGCTCTTAGTGAATTTCCAATATACATTATTATTGACTATAGTCACTGTATTGCTGTATATTAGGTCTTTGACACCAAATCATCTTATAAATACAAGTTTGTACCTTTTATCTAACATTTTTCCATTTTCTCCACTCCCTGATCTCTGGTAATCACCCTCTACATTATTGCTATTGAGTTCTGCTTTTTTTAGATCCCACATATAAGTGAGATCATGCAGTATATATCTTTCTGCATTTGGCTTATTTCACTTTGCATAATGACCTCCAAGTTTATCTACACTGTCACAAATGATAAGGTTTCCTTATTTTTCAAGGCTAAGAAGTGCTGCATTTTTATATATATCTTTATAAAAGCATACTGTTTTACTACGTTTCACTTTTTTCTTTAAATTTTTTTTTTAATTTTAAAGATGTGGGTTACAATTTAGGGTTAAGTATACAAATGTTCTTTATGCAGGTAACCTTATTGTTAAGTTGTGCCCCCCCAGGCAGAATCCCACTACTGTCAATCCCGCTTCCCCCCTCCCCTCCTGGCAGTTTCTGGCTACTGCCAATACTTATCTTAAAGTATTATGATAAGTTCTGCTTATGAGTGAGAACATGTGGCACTTAGTTCTTTGTTTCTGTGATAGATCCCTCAGTATTATAGACTCTAAATTCGTCCAGGTTGCTGTGAAGTTCATGATTTTGTTCTTCTTTATGGCTGCGTAATATTCCATCATGTATATGTAACATAATTTTTAATCCAGTCCTCTTTTGATGGGCAGCACGGTTGGTTCCATGTTCTTGCTACTGTGAACAATGCTACAATAAACACATGTGTGCAGGTATCTTTTTAATAGAGTAATTTGAGTTCTTCTGGGTATATTCCCAGTAGGGGGACTGCGGGGTCAACTTTTAGATCTTTTAGGAATTGCCACAGTTTTCCACAGAGGTTGTACTAGTTTACACTCCCCAACAGTGTAGAAGTGTTCCCTTTTCCCCACATCCTCTCCAGCATGTATTGTTTTTTGAATTGTTGATGATAGGCATCCTGACTGGAGTTAGGTGGTATCTCAGTGTAGTTTCGATTTGCATTTTATGGATGACTAGTGAGGCTGAGCATTTTTTTATGTATCTGCTGACTGCTCATATGTCTTCTTTTGAGAAGTGTCTATTCATATCTTTTGCCCACTTTGTAATGGGGCTGTTTGTTTTTTTCTTTTTGGCATGTTTGAGTTCCTTGTAGATTATAGATGTTAGGCCTTTGTCAGTCATACAGTTGGCAAATATTTTTTCCCAGTCTGTGGGCTGTCTCCCCGCTCTCTTGATGGTTTCTTTGGCTTTGCAGAAGCTTGTCAGTTTGATGAGATCCCACTTGTCTATCTTATCTCTTATGGCATGGGTGCTTGGGGTTTTGATCAGGAATTGGTTGCCAGTTCCAATTTCCATAAGGCTGTCTCCTGTATTTTCTAAAGATCTTATAGTTTGAGGTTTTTTTTTTTTTTTTGAG